TATTTATATTTAAATGCCTACACAATTAATTTCTGTTAGGGTTAGGGTAAGGTTTATGGTTAGGGTAAGGGCTGAGGGTTAGGGTTCGGGTAAGGGTTAGAGTTAGGGTTGGTCTAAGCTTTAGGGTTAGTGTTAGGGTAAGGGTTAGGTTGGGATAGTGATATCGCATGTAAAATGCCCCAAGTTTCTGTCTTACGGGAAGCGTTGGAGTACGCATTTAAATATAAATAAGAACACATGTGCGCTAACAAGGAAACTCCTGCCGAGTTTACCCCCTCTTCGACATTTCCAATTAGGCAACAGTTTCAATTCGGGGCAGTAGCACTGAGCTCTTGAGGTTGGCGACGAAGAACGTGTCCAAACCACCTCAACCATCCTTCCTGAATGGCCCCGGATATCCTTGTGATTTTGTCACAGTGAGTGCGGACTGTCTCGTTTGAGACAAAGTCGGTGTACTTCACTCGAAGTATGCTCCTCAGACAGTAATGGTCAAAGACTTCCACTTTTCGTTCATTTTCCACGCGCATAGCCCAATGTTCGCACTCGTATAGGAGAACGGAGCGCACAGATGCACGGTACACGCGGATCTTTGTTGAGATAGGGATATCGCGTCGGGTCCATAAGCACTTTCGAAGGCTAGGGGAAAACTCGTCGTGCTGCGTCAATTCAGGGAACAATGTCATCTTTACTCTGTCCATTCGGCAACAACCTCGCTCTGAGGTATCTGAAACTGTCGACTTCTTCAAGTTGACAGCCACTAATCTCAAAAGGTGCCTTCTCTTGGGCAGGGATGCAGCATGAAAACGCTTTGGTCTTCCCAGCATTTATGGACAAAGCGACCGATTTCGTGACCTCGTTCACCCGTGACACCGCAGACTGTAGATCATCAAAGCTTGAAGCTAGTAAAGCGATATAATCGGCAGTCCTTCTCATGGTAATAAATAAACAAGCTGTTCGGGAGGGCTGTTAATATACTTTTGGATGCGATTCCCCAGACACCTAGTGGATGCTAAAGCGCGTTCAAAGGTATTTAATAAGCAGAATTTCGCAGGACTTACGTAAGCGGATGGATAAGTCAGTCGTTATTCAACCTCACTAGCTAACCATACAATGCTACAGAATGGTCACAGAAAGCGCACTGGTCTCAGAAAATTTAAATAAACATATCGAATTCGACTGAAATATATCCAACACCATCTCTTACCGCAAAGCGCCCTGTATCTTGTTTGTATCCTCAACACCAGTCCGATGTCATTGTTGAATGCTGTTTACAATGTCTGCGAGAAAGATGCCAGGAGAACCAATGCTCAAAAGTGCTATACAATAATAAACCGACAATGTACTACTAGATCCTGAATAGTTTAAATGCTCGACCTTATCTGTACGCCACGTTGAACATTTTTTGAATCATACCAAC